GACAATCTTTTATTTCCGGGTGGATCATCTAAATAAGTGATCAATCATTCTAGTAATACGTTTACGTAAGGTCACGTCCTACGTGCTCGCCCCGTTAGCTATCTTTTCTGCGCATGTCACTTTTAGCATGTTTGGTGTGCTGTGGTTTTCACACAGCCATTGAAGCTCACCACCGTTCTTTGAAAATGGCCAAGGGTTGTAAGTGAAAAAGTGTCTACGAAGTGCATGAGAAGAAAAGAAAGGCCTCAGAAGAGGCGTATCTATCCCAGAATGCTTTGCGCAGAGAGCTCTGATTATGCATTATAGGATTTGCTGTCACAGCGGCCCGCTATCTATAGCCTGTCCGACAGTGGTGACTAATAACAGAAATGGCGCTGCACAGAGGAGGAGTTATGTGGCCAACGGACCTACAACGGAGTTACTATGTCCCCCTGTATGTGGATACAGTAAGCTTGTATGAGCTATGAGTACAGCACATTTTAAACAGGGCGTGCACAAAGAGAAAGTGGCTCATGCATTTTTTTTAAGTATAGAGGGCGGGTCTATTAAAAAACTCCTCCACAATACCTTTAATTACTGCTGTAAGGGGGTTGTGCTTTCAGCAAATGGCATATTTAATAACCTGAGTACAATTACCCTATGCAGTCCTTCGTTTCAAATGACAAATTAGTTGACAATTATTTTAATTATCAATTAACCACAATTAGGCCAATTTAATTTTTTTTAAGTCCAACACTGAAAGTATATGCAAGCCAAACTTTTCAGATGTTTTTGTGCAAACAATAAAAAATGATATCACTTTCATGCTACTTCTGCATTATGCACTAATTGGAATTGGTCAACATTGTTATATTCCAGTTACTTTATATGTTAAGTGATATTTATACACTGACTTTCATATTACCGGCAATTAACAAAAAAATCCCCAAGCATTGAAATACTTAGTTTTCAGAGAGTAATGCTAAATTTCACCACAGTATCACTGTAAATTAGAATAACGTTGCCATAATGTGTCTTTCAAATACTGTGCATATCCTATTAACTGTGCTGAAACAAAGGAGCGATACAACTTTTGTATTAGAATTATCTAAATAATCATTTATATAAAAATTGTGTTTTACAGCACTTTGAGTTTTTTTTGGCACCAAAATGTGCTATAAAAAAACAAAGTTGCCATGGTTTGCCTTTACTTACCCCTCACACCCTGAAAAAAAGAAAGAAATGTCCTATAATGCTCTATACTATATACTGTTTTTTATTTTTTTTTTAAATGTAATCTTCTGTGTTTAACATTTTACAGCAGCAAGCAACCCAACAAGTAACACTTGTGTATTGACATTTGTTTGTCAGTGTGGTAAATCATCATTAAGGGAACTTTAGTGAAGAAACATCTGTTTGTTCCCCTAAACTCCCACATCAGAGAAATGGAAAAAGTCAGAACTTTACCACACCTACACCAAAACAGTGCAGGCCAGATAAACAGAAGCAACCACACAGTTGAATAAACACCATTAGATTTTCTTTCTAATTATTATTGTGAATTTGTTCATTCTTAATGATAAGAAATAACATAAGATTATATAAAGATTCATATATATCACATAACACATTTACTGATGTGGAAAGTTAAAAACTTAATCCAACTAATCAACTAAGTAGTAGTTTCTCAGTACCAACATCTCTTATGCCCCTTTCACACTGGCCGAAAAATCTGGTCAAATTACTCGGCAAGCCTCGTTAAAATCGCCTTGTCACTGATGGGCGTGCTGCGGGGACACCAGAAGCGGGTTGACCCGCTAAATAACATGACACCATTGAACCCAACATCAACACACCCTTTGTCGCTTCTGATATAACAAGCTGAAACACTATGGACCTAGATAAGCTCAATTTTCACTAAAACACATATGTGATGGATGTGGGATCTGGGGGTGTCGTCCCATGTGGAGTACTTTCTTGTGATTGGTTTATACAAGTGATTGGTGCAACCCATCCCCATCCCCTCCATTCGAGGCACCTCAAAGGGAGTCGCAAAAGTCAGTTGTTCTGTGCTATTGTAAGTCTTTTCCTTTGTGTGTTTGCATGAGTGTTTTTTTTTTTTTTGTGCTTGTATGAATCGAGCTGTGCATGTGCGGATCTTGTCCTGTGCATGTATGAATCACATATGTGTATTTGTGAAAACTGAGAACGATCTAGCTCCATAAAACAACTCTGTTTACCTTCAATTAACATGGTGGAGTACTAGTAAGACTGATTGGGACAGCTAAAAGAGTGAAATAATAAAGAATACTGACTACGCTCTGGCTCATGCCCATGTTACTCTCCATTATTTACTTCACTGATTTCCGTTGCATTGTGAACATCATCAAGGCTCACCCGGTGCAATGCTTGTCACCAGATACGCAGTGGTGGCGGACAATGGCAACACAACTTGCCTGCAGGGGGTCAGACTCTGCTTTTCGGTCAAATGCGAAAAGAGCTAAAAGCCGATTGTGAGCTGGTCAACCCAATTTTAAAAAACACAGGTTTTCAGTGGGAAAGTGGCTTCACTGGAATGATGGAGATAGATAAGTTTGAGAATTTCTGCAGGATACAGTAAGATTGTTATTCACGTTGGTGGTAATGACACCCAGTTACGCCAATCAGAGGTCACTAAAATTTGTGCTGCTTCGTTGAGTAAGTTTGCCAAAACAATGTCAGACTCCATGATTTTCTCTGGTCCCCTCCCTGATCAGTGATGGCATGTTTAGCCGCATGTCGTCATTCAACCGCTGGTTGTCTAGGTGGTGTCCTGAAAACAACGTGGGCTACATTAATAATTGGCAATCCTTTTGGGGAAAGCCTGGTCTGATTCGGAGAGACGGCATCCATCTCCCTTTGGATGGTGCAGCTCCTCTTTCTAGGAATCTGGCCGAATTTATAAGTCCTCCAAAACACTGACAAGCCAGGGTGCAAACTCTCAGCAGCTTCTCTACTGTTACCCACTCATTACTCCAACCAGACAGTGTCTTGCCCACAATCAAAATCAAATAAATTAGAAAAGATTCCCAAAGGAGTGAATCATGATAATCTAATAAAAATAAAAATAACTCCAATTGGGGAAAAAGTTAAAATGATTAAATGTGGTTTATTTAACATAAGATTTCTTTCTTCAAAAGTCTGCTAGTTAATGACTTTGTGATAATCACATTGATTAATGTTGTCATACAGAAACTTGGCTGGAGCAAGAGGATTATGTGAGCATAAATGAGGCAACCCCTTCTAGTTATTTAATTTTTCACATACCCAGAAATTCTGGCTGAGGAGGAGGAGTAGCAACAATCTTTCAGTCTGACTTACTGATTACTCCAAAGGCAGTTAATAATTGCAACTCTTTTGAACATTTAACCCTTAGTTTCCCTCATCCAAATTACGAAGCAAGAAAGCCTCTTCTTTTTTTTACTTTGTATTGCCCACCAGGTCCTTACTCTGAATTTGTAGATTACGTTTCAGAGTTCCTATCTGATTTGGTGTTGAATACTGACAGGGCATCATAGTGGGGGATTTTATCATCTATGCTGACATTGAATGCGATAGGTTAAGTGCAGCCTTTAATGCTATCTTAGACACTATTGGCTTTGTTCAAAATATGAATAGTCCCACACATTCTCATCATCATACTTTGGACCCTCCTCATTAATAGAGGAGAATAAGAATAATCCTATATCTTTTTAATACAGTTGCAAAACTCACCCAAAGCCATAGTGCCATTGAACCGTCCATACTACCTGCTCTTAGCAGGAATGATTTTATGGGATTCTTTACAAATAAGATTGATTTTATTAAAAATAAGATAATTAGCACTCATCTAACTATGATTGGTTTATCCCTGGAAGGTGAGGCATCATCTGAGGTAGTCATAGAATCTGAACCAGGTTTAAACTGCTTTGATCCAGTTTAACTTTTAGAGTTAGCAAAACTACTGTCTTCATCTAAGCCTTCAACTTGTAGATTAGATCCAGTTCCAACCAGGTTATTTAAGGAGGTATTCGCTTTGATCTCCTCCTCCATTTTAGATGTGATTAATCTCTCCCTGTTACAGGGATATGTACCAAAGGCTTTTAAGGTTGCTGTAATTAAACATTTACTTAAGAAACCATCTCTCAACCCAAATGACTTTGTTAGTTCTAGACCAATATCCAATCGTCCTGTCTTATCTAAAATTCTTGAAAAAATAGTGTGTGACCACTTACACCATAATAAACTTTTTGAAGAGTTTCAGTCTGGCTTTAGAGCTCATCATAGCACTGAAACAGCTCTGGTGAAAGTCACTAATGATATTCTAATGGCCTCAGATAATGGACTTGTATCTGTGCTCGTCCTGTTGGATCTCAGTGCTGTTTTGATACAGTTGACAAAAATATATTTTTTAAATGACTTCACTATTTTGTAGGAAGTAAAGGGACTAGACTGGTTTAAATCGAATATATCTGACCGATTTTAGTTTGTTCATGTTAATGATAAATATTCCTCATCTTTCAGGGTTACCTGTGAAGTACCACAGAGATCAGTGCTAGGACCAATTCCCTTTAGTAAATATATGCTCCCAATTAGTAGAAAATTAGACAGCATGGAATTAATTTCCACTGTTATGCTGATGATACTCAGCTGTATCTGTCTATAAATTCAAATTACATAGATTACAGGCATGTCTTAAAGAGATAAAAAACTGGATGACTCTTAACTTTCTGCTCCTGAATGCAGACAAAACAGAAGTTGTAGTCTTTGGACCTGAGTCTTTGAAAAAGAAGCTGATTAGTCAGTCACTTCATATGGATGGCATTATATTGATTTTAGATAATAAAGTAAAAAAAATCTTGGTGTTATTTTTGATCAGGACCTGTCATTTAAATCCCATATCAAAGAGGTTTCTAGAATTTCCTTCTTTTATCTGTGTAATATTACAACAATTAGAAATATCCTGTCCAGGAGTGAAGCTGAGAAACTAGTCCATGTATTTGTTACTTCAGGGCTGGACTATTATAATTATTTACTATCAGGAAGTCAACAAACTGTAGTTAAAAGCCTTCAGCTGATCCAAAATGCTGCAGCAAGAGTTCTGATGAAAATTTAAAATAGAGATCATATCTCTCCTATCCTAGTTTCTCTTCATTGGCTTCCTGCTGAATCCAGAAAAGAATTTAAAGTCATTCTCCTTATATATAAAGCCTTACTGTAAGTGGCCAAGTTCCATCTTACGTCAGAGATATGATTGTTTCTTATGTTCCCAACAGAGCAAGTCACCGCCTCTCCCTGAGATTTGCTCTGGGTACCTCAGGAAGATAATTGAGGAGGACAGCGGTAGCTCTGAGAAGCCTGATGAGGAAACACAGCCAGAGCAGGGAAGGCTCCATGCCTGGCTGTGGCTAGCTATACAGGCAGTAGATTGGATAATTCCGGTGGGCAGACAGAGTGCTAAAGGTGGGTGGGAGGCTGCAGCTCACCAGAAAAGAAGAAAAAGCAGTGGCTGGCCGGTGTCTGTCATGGAGGTAGGATGATGAAACACTCTTTCTAGGGCTAAATTAAAATGCCTTTTTTTAAAACCACCTAGAACCTCTTAAGAGTATTACCTTCTTCATCCTTTGTTAACATTATTTTCTCTATCTTCAACATTGATTAATAAAAAGTTGTCTCTGTTGCCTCCTTCACTGTAGGTCAGTGAAATCTAGTCCCTGATTGGATTTCGCAATGCAAATGAAAAGATTGAGATTTTTCAAATGGTGTTAATTTCTCTTCGCATAATTCTCAAACTTCCACGAAAAGACTGTATGTGCATCATACAAGTCAAATGGTCAACAACCAAATGTTACCGGCAAAAAAAAGCCAAAGCAGATGAGGTATGATGATGAAGAAGTGGTAGGAGGATGATGGCACATACATAATGTTTTTTCATGAGTTATCATGTGATCAAACTAATTCACATGTAACTTTGATTGCATTTCTTATTTAATGGAAACACAACAATCGCAAATTTTTTTTATTTCTCAACATTAACAAAGTATTGACAAAGTGTAATCAAAGCGCAGCTATTTTTTTCACGAAAGAGTGAAAAATGGCTATACTGCAGAATGCTGTCATGTTTAACATGTCTGCTTTGAAGAAGGGGCCTTGTAAGATATTAACCTTTTTTGTTTTTTTTAATAAAGCCAAAAGTTTTTTTAATTACATTATCTGAATCATTTCACTTTTGCCTTTGTTACCTTTATGATTCTAAAGAAAACTTGCTTTGGAAACAACTTTTCAAAGTCTGACTGCAAAGGGTTTGGCATAAGTTCTCACTCTTTAAACTTGACCACCCAGAGGCAAACATTAACCTTCAGCTGATCCAACATTCAAAACATGCCTGCAACTAAACTGTCAGAGTAGCTAACACATAATCAATAATACTTAAAGTCATTCAGGCTACAGGGCCAATATGAGCTGATTCTTCAAAATGGTACCCTCATCACTCCCAACAAAACACCAGTTACTTTAAAGGCATAGTTGAGGATTTTTGCGATTTTTTAACAAAACCCGCCCTTTCATCTTAAAAAAAATAAAAATGCACATGCACAACCCTGCCTATTAAACGTGTGTGAGACTATGCCAGAGCCCATTTCTTCTCATGGACACTCTGTTTAAAAGTTGCTGTTTGCATCACTCATACAAGCTTACTTTCCAAAAGAAGATTTGCATCTATTCCACTATGTCAGATTCACCTCAAGTAAGTGAAAATGGGGACGAGCACGTAAGACAGCCTTACGTAAACATATCACAAGAATGATTGATAATTAGGAGGACCTATTATTTTGATGATCCATCTGGAAAAAGAAAATCCTCCACTATTTTTTTAAGTATGATGATGTACATCATGGTCCAAATAACCAGGAGAGATATGAGGAAAAACACAAAAACTTCTTCCCACCACTCTTTTGCATGCAATATCCTTCTATTACAAATGTTTGAACACTTCTAACTGGTACAAAGTTTTAAATCCTTCTGAAGTAATAATTCATTCTTCTATAAAATCTGAACAAATCCAGTTCAAACGCACTCTTAGAATTATAAACAGCAGGGGGGAGGGCTGTAGGGTTGAAACAATTCATCTTATTAACTGGAATTAACTGATGAATGAAACAATCTGCTCATTTATCATCATGGAGCCTGTTAACGCCAAGAATTACAAACAATGTATCCTGACAAAATAGCACAACTCACCAGTGAACCAGTTAGAAAACTGAAAGTAAGAGCTCATTGTATTGTCTGTGTAAACTGCCTCGAGGTTACATATATTGTGAATTGGCACTACATAAATAAACTGAAATGAATCTAAAACTTTATTTTATTCTTTTTTTTAATAACACTATTTATATACATTTGAAAAAGACTATACTAAAACATTAAGAAAATACTGAATTTACATGAAGTTTAAGTGAACCTCAGTGGACAGTACAGGTGAACTTCATATGACCAATTGAGGTAAATTTGGTCGGTGACCCCTTCTCTAGAGTGTCAAATTGATAATTTTGTTGGGGCTCCATAAGAGTTATGCTCAACCCTACTAAAACTATTTGAAATGATTGAATGATTTAAATCAAAGTAAATCAATAGCATGGTAGTTGTCCAATAGCCACTAAGCTACATGGCACTGTTGTAAACCATTTGTAATTTCAAGAACTGTATTCTGAAGGTACTTATAAATATAATTATAGCTAAGTTTTCTATTCAATGAGGTGCTAAATTTAGCATAAAAGCAGACTCCTCCACCATGATAGTGCATCCTAAGTACAAAATATTAAGGGCAAGGCTATTGTCTTCATTAACCAAACTTTTCAATTACAACACCATGGTAAATTAGAATATTCAATGTATCCAGTGCATATTCTAAAAAGCTATATTACAATAAGCACTGGAAGGCCTCAAATTAACTTAGATTTTTTGGCCTTTTGCATAGAAAAAAAACAAGCTCTGCAGGGTCGTACAAATTATAAGTCATACATCAATCACTTACCGGAGGGCCTGGCTCTCCTTTGGGACCATTCAAACCATCTTCATACTCATAAAATATTTCTGGCTCCTCAAATCCATAATCATATCCTCCATAGTCCTGGTCTTCGTAGCTGCCGTCCAGACCATGATGTTCTGAAGAGTCCACCTGGTGTTCCCTGTACAAAGTGGTACCATTGACTTTTGGATGAGACTGTAGAACTCGGTGAGTCTGTTGAGGCCCGAGATCAGAGTGCCTAAAGTTGTCCCTGAGTCCTTCTATTGCTTGGGTTTGCATGATTGGAGATGTAAGGGCTGTAAAATCTTCTACATGTAGATTTTTAGAGTTTCTCCCTTCCTTTGTACTTATCTCTGTGTGATCCGTATCTGCCTTGGGTTCACTTTCTTTGGCGAACTCCATTTTTGTTGTACTGAATGTTCTACTGTGGGTGAGGCCCTGTGCTTGTCTACTTAGTGTTGCTTGTGTTAGGCTGTTAGGCTCAAACAAAAACGTGGACGGGGAGGTTGAAGGTTTCAGTGTGAAAATGTGGTCTTGTTTCCTTGGATATAGCTCTGTTCTTGGGCTCAGAGTTGAAGACTGTATGTTAACTTGATTACTTGGCAACAATTGGTCTGTTGTTGGAACTTTGTTGGAAAGTTGTTGATGGGTAGCTAGTACTCCTACAGGGGGCATTGTTGAAGGGTTAGATGGGCTGTCATTAGCTTCTAAATCCAAACCAGAACCCAGAAAAGACGATCGATAAGTGTCGGCCAGCCGGCACTGTTTTTTAAGGTAGTTGCAATAGTTTGCGGCAGCTTGAGCTGAAGGGTAGATGTCTAACTGGCAGACTTTACCAATAAATGGAACTGCCTTTGAGTTCATCCTACCCAATGTGAAGAGATTCCCAGATTCTCCCAGTCTCTGAGACCTCCCCAAAGTCTGCTCTCGTTGCTGAACTGCTCCACAGTCCTCATAGAAGGACACTGACTGCGCTCGGACACCAACAGCAAAAGCATGCTGCTGTCCATCCTTCCACTTATGGTTGAAGTAGCTTGTGGATTTCTCTGCAGTGTAGACTATTACCTTCTGTGAAAGCAGCTGAATGCCAAAACGGAGTCTGTCCCTGCTATCTTTGACACTAAAAACAAAAGCATTGTTGGCTCGCCAGGAGCTTAGGCTAATCACAAAAGAAAACTCAACTCCAAAGTCTGAATGGAACAGACTATTTGCTGGGATCTCATAGAGGGATGTTGCATTGAAAACCACCCCATATCCAGGAACTGGGATATTCAAAGGTTGGGGACCATTGGTGGAAGTTGTATGCGGCGACGCTGTCCCATTGCTGGAAATGTCTGTTCTGCTTTGATTTGTAAGTCCCAGCTGATAAAGAATATCCACTCCTGTCGAAAATAGGGGAAATTGGTCAGATTTACATGCTATGGCTTAGTCACTATTTTTATATCAAATGGTCTTAAAGCTACTTAGTATCAGACATTTCTTTGCGGGTTAAGCACCTTAAAAAGAATCCATGAAACTAAAAGCAAATGAAATGTAAGAAATTAATTGAACTCTTGAGGCATGCAAGTTGCAGTACCAGACATGCTTAGAATTTCTGCCTTTAGAACACACTCAAAATTGGTTTCTTTATATACTTTTACTCAGAAACCCTCCTTTAAACAACAATCTGTTATTTTTAATGGTATCTTAAAAGGAACAGCAATGTTTTACAATGTTATGATTTAATACTATTTCTAAAATTAATTCAGTTGATAGCATAGGAATTACGGTGTCCAGACTTTCCTCTTCTTCCCTTGGAATCAAAGAACAGGCCTATTATAGTAGCTACATACATCCTGTTAGACTAAAAAAAAAAAATGGACAATAGCATTGAAATAAATTGAGTTCCATCATACTTATCATGGTGCATACGTTTAATGTTATGTTGTACATAAGCATCTGCATTAAGCAGTCAAATATTATCTGTTAATATAAAATTAAGCTACTCTACAAAGTGCATGAAGAAAGGGTTACTATTCTCAGTACTGAGATGAAACCAACATTTTGTGGGTAATGTGATATATTTTTTCATACTATGCATTAGATAAAAAAAAAATAATTCTATTTACTACTCACCATGTTTAATTTGCCCATATAGAAATAAATGTAGATTTGTTTTTTTTTTTCAATTAATCACTGAGATCATCTTAATTATTCTATAAAAACTGTGATATGCCAAAACTGTGATATTTCTAATTAAGGTTATAAAACAATGACAATAGACTACAGGTCCATGTCTGATTTTTGGGGATTGTCTTCTATTTCTCCTAATAGTAATAGTTTAAATATATTTAACAGCTTTTTGTTAACATGAAATTTGGGAGCTCTGCCTAGGACATGTCTTTTTTACATATCTGAAAGCTGATTAAACACAGTGCTATTAATAAAGGTTCCCAGAGACACTCGTGATGTACTCTCTGTTTTTTTTCTCTCTAAAAGATAAATGCAGCTGCAGTCCAGATGGATAGAAATAATTTAAAATGCATGAGGCAGAACAAGGTTTCGGAGAACTGGCTTTTAAAGTTTATCAAAACAATCTGCAACCAGGTCTTTATATAAAAATGCCTTGTCATTCTTTTTCGCCTTCACATGTAGGGAGAATTTATGCTGAATTTGGTCAAGTTGAGACACAGCTTGGCAAAAGCCCAAAAAACATTACATAATGACAGGTCTGCTGCTCACTTTTGGCATGGAGTAGAGAATAGCACGCAGATCTCAAACTGAATTTTCGGAAAAAAAAAAAAAAAAAATAAGTATCTTTTTCAAACACAATATCATTGATTAGAATATTATTCTATAAAACTTGCCAACCTGTGTAACAACAAATAAATCAAACATGATGCCATTGATATAACAAGAGTCTCTGAGTGCTGTTGGGGTTTTTGAGACACAATTGGAACAAAGTAAAATATAGCATGAGGAAATGTGGATAGACCAAGAGGAACATTTTCAGTACCATAATAGTTTTAGTTATTTGTTGATGATTTTGCTGGATAAAAATAGTTTGTTGTAGTGTTCAACAGGCCTATGACATTTCTCCTGAAGAATCCCAGCCAATACTTCTTTGGCAAAACATTCAGACTCCTTCTTATTTGATGGCTTTCTGGCATGCACTTATATTTATAATTCCCACAGATTTTCAATTGGAGACAAGTCAGGACTTTTTATAGGTCAATCAGTAACTTTCACTTCCATCTCCTCTAGAAAGTTTTTCCCAAGTTGTGATGTATTTTTGAGGGTAATTGGCAACATAAAAGTAATAGAGTGTAATAACTGTCTTTAGTTAGGATACTTCTGACTCGCTTGAATCATTTCTTAGTGATGTTTGGGGTTTCCTAAAAACCTCTGTCACAAGTCTTCTTTACAAGGTCTTCAGAGTGCTTCCAATCTTTGCCTGGCTCGTTCTGTGCTTCAGCTCTAAAAAAAAACATTTTCCACATCTTGACATTTGTCAATATAGTAAAAACTTTAGTTGAACTTGCTCCTTTGTGAGTATTGACAACCCCTTTTTCTAAAGTCCAAGCTGACTTATTTTGTTTTGATATTTTCTCAATGTAGAGCTAAAATCCTTACTAAAATAATTTTTACCTGTATACTCTTACTGTTAGTCTAAAAAATAAAGCTGAATTCAGGAGCGCTGAAATTTAGAAATTAGAATACTGCGCACTTGCTAGTGCTCAGTAAAATTAAAATTATCATAATTGAGGGAGATCATCATTTTTTAGTTCTTATTTTGTTAATTTCAATAGTGTATGCACAGTAAAAACATCCAAATTAATTCCAGAATGTTTAAAGAAATATTTTTAGTGCTCAACTTAACCTGTATACATGCATTTAGAGACAGAAAGATTACAAAAGGGGAAAAATCTTTTTTTTTATTTTACTTTTGTTTTTATTATACTTTTGAAGATATTTTGTATCTCTACTGTTTTTGATGGGGACAGAAAATAGTTCAGTCAGCTGCCTTGCTTCCAAGCAGTAGGGAGGCGAAAGAAAAAACGTAAACAGAAAAGACACATTAAAACAATGTTTTTCATTAGGTTCACATGGAGTTCAGTGCAGAGACACAGAGGGAATGTATTTCTCTCAACAAATTGGTTAATCATTTCTGGGTATACTTTACCATTTTGCAATTTATTACTTTTGTGCTTTAAGAGAAGCTGCCTCTTAAGTTTGTGTGCAATCCTCTTCCATGTATTACAATGGATTGAGTTTTCTTGCTTGGCTTGTGAGATTTACAGTAAATACAGTATGTGGGTGAATGACAATGCAAGAGGGAAAATTCTGCACCCTTGGGGCATTCTAGTCATTCAGTGAGGGGAGCAGTACACACTGTGAATAGAAGTTACTAAAATAAATGTCAAAAAAAGCTGTATAAATCAATTTTTTTTTTGCAAAACTAAATGCCCAATCCTAGCAATGAATGTCTTTTCATTCAAATATAATCAAATTTGTATAAATAGTAATGATACAAATTATTTAAAAGGAACACACAAACTAAACATGTCTTCTATATGTCACAGGATGACACATACGGTACTGAGGTGTTGCCATTTACCTTGAGCAGAGTAGTTGTTTTTTGCAGATACTGCTGAACATACTGACAGGAGCAGGAGAAAGTTCCACCTAGTGAGGGAAACAATTATGTTAATAAGATATATTGCCATGAAAAAATAGTGGGATTCTCCATCAGGACTGTTGTTCAAGTGACCTTTTTACCTCCTGTAATATATTAAACATGTGACTGCTTATATATCCCACTGACAAGGACAAGGCTTTCCAAGAAAAAAAAAAACAGTTCTAAGAAAGTACAAAGCACCTATTGTTAAATCTGCAACTCTATGGAAAGAACACAAAGATTTATAACTTGATGGAAACCAAGATAGAAAAAGTATTCATGGTATAAAGATTTAGATACACACAAATATCAACGTGGTTAATGTTCCAATATAGGCCAACCATCTTTAAATCTTTTTTTTACGAAACATTTAAATCCTATTAATTTTCTAATTATTTTCATTTCTTTTCATGTCACCTATATTTAAGTTCATAGAGAAATTTCCAATGAACCAAGATCTCTTAAATGATCAGTGGAAACCATTAAAGAAATGGTCACAAACTATACCTTATGCTCCTCTATGATAATTAATAGTCAGCAGTATGTTGCACTTAGAAGAGTGCTATTTGGTATTGGTGCTGCAGAGTGAAGTACACTCCAAAATGTTGAAATTAAGAAAAGGGAGGTGCAGAGATAGAAAGTATTTTACTGGAAGCTATGTTTTCTGTGGCAGGTTGAGAAGGGTATATGTTCATTCAGCATACAAGAGAGAGTGCTGATTCAGCAACTGATAGGGGCGTTGAGTAATCTACAACAAAGTTTTTCTTTTAAATTTTTTACGATAAATGTGTCATGGAAGATGCCAGATTTGGATATTTTGTCCAAATTTTTTGAAACCTTAAAGATGTTAGGAATGTATCATATATACACACAGGAACTGCAGTGAAAATATTTATTCATATAACATATAAAAGCTAGTTTTCTTATGCAACCAGCAAATCTTAAACAGAAGCCTGTCTTCTCTGTAGATGTGAAAAATTTGATATTTGTATATCTGAATGTGCAGGTGAAAGTCATGCAGAGAATATTAATGCAGGACTGTCAACTCTCACCCATTGTGTGTGAGACTCACACATAACACTGTCCTGACGCGCTTTCACTCCATATCCACAATTTCTCACACATAAAAATGACTGACATTAAAACTCTATTCCATTTCACTTATTTAAATATACAAATACCATGCTGATAAAAATCCAGTCTGTGTTTTCAACACAACCTTAGTGCTAACACACAAGGACATGCCAGGTTTATTTCCAGTCCGTATTTTTGCACCAGCCTACCTATTCACTGTGCTGAGAGCAGCAGAACTGAAAGACATGCACAAGATATATATATTAAAAAAAAGGGATTTCTGAGCAGTCATTAGGACGTATGTCATTGGATTTTTGATCTTATCTTATCTGGACTAAAATAATTTACTTGTAAATTAATGAATATTTTAAAGGGGTCATTGAATGCAAAACCGAGTTTACATTGTCATAGATTAATAACGATAGTTCAGTGGGCGAAATGGACATACAGAGGAGTTCAAACCCCATCAACACCTCCTTTCTCTGCAAATCTCACAATTCTAGACTTCCACCATAAAACGGGCAAATCCAGACGAAGCCCCGAACTGACGTAAATTGGGATGTTGCCTTATTTGGTTCTGGCCTGTACTTTTGTCACGCCTCGAAATTAACATACAGACCAGCCCACATGTTTACTGGCCCAAAGGAGAGGGGGTTGGGGGGTAAGTAGTATCGACTGACTGGACCGGACCTCACCAGAGAGCCACAAGTCGCCCGTCCTCAGCCGAAGGGGCGGCAGGTGGGGGGAAGCACGGGCTGCCTCTGTCCAGGCTACCGTCACCGGGTCGGGTTCGGTTGCTCCGTCCCCCACTAGCTCAATGCCCCCGTCCGGCCGGGGTTCCCGGACCAGCCCCGGAGTTGATGGCTTGGTTTCGAGTGCCTGGTGTGTTTCGACTACATGCTGCACTGTAGTCAAACTAAATCCCGGACGATTTAGAAATTCCCCCAGGACATTTTTTTAGGTATGAAAAGTAGGACATGTCCGAGAAAAGGAGGACATCTGGTCACCCTACCATATCAACAATTTCGATGTTTCAGTGAGTGAGTGCTTGTTGCTATGATGCGTCTTTGCTCAGCAGCTGCGCTCGTTGTAAACCAACCAATCAGCCCAAAGCTCATCTAAATATTTATGAGCATACCATAAAAGGAAGAAAACCTTTTCTAGGGTTTATATGCAAATATGCCATTTTCAGCCCAACCAATGTTACACATCCTATTCAGATACCTTAAGGATCCGCACCAAATACCCTGTATAATCATTCTATGACCCCTTTAAGCAATCTGGTACTTGAGTAAATATGAACAAAATATACAACAGTTGCTTAAATCATCAATGTGGAGACCGAGTGCAGAAAACTCATCAAATTGATAACAAATGGTTTGTTTTCTCTATACCTAGTGCTTTTTTTGTAAGCTGATTTTGTCCAAGTTTTAGCCCATGTTTTGCTCACAAGTTAAATAATTATCGCTCAGTCTAATTGAATAATCCCCTGTTGGATTTTAGGACTAAAAGCAACACAAACATCTAAATTCTTAAAGCTTTCAGGTATGGCAGTATAGGGCAGTTACTAACTTTGTACTCACAAACCCAAAAGAAAAAGATTACAGCCAACCTCAAACAAGTAAAAAGTAATAATGCCACAGTGTGTCTAAATGGAACAACACACAAAAAAGATAGCACAACCTTTTCCTACTCCCCTCGGTAGAGTGCTGTTTAGGTCGCCAAGTCAGGAGAGACAAGAACATTGTGCAGCCAAATTTAAGACTGCAACTGAAGATGATTCATCCACAGAAAGTGTTGTACTTTGGACGGATGGTCCACTTCTCTTACTGTTTTCCATGTTTGCAGGCTGCTGCCCCTATTGTCAACATGAAATAGCTAATTTTGCACCCTTTTTTGGCAACTCTAGGAGCTCTCATATAATTGGCTCACGCTGCACCAAAGCAGTCACATCTTCTACCTCTGGATTTCAAAGGAGATAAACTTGACTAAGACAATATGGAGGGGACCGAATGTTTACACGGAGTTTTACTTACACCCTGGTTGACAAAATGTGAATGTTTTTTTTTTTTTATGGTAAATTTCTAACTTATTGGTTCTTTAACTAAATGTAAATGAATAAATAGTGACTTAAGACCTCTTCACAATACCATACAGAGTGTCAAATCATTTTCACAATAAAGCTGAAAATTATTTTTTTCAAATTGCAACGAAATCAATCAGATCAGCAGAAACAACTTATTTTAGAGGTTATAACAATCACTATAACCAGCTATCGTTTTACAACTCTGAGGGTAAAATGCCTCCATTCAAATCTAAAGGGAACCTTATGAAAATATATTTACTTCCATAGAACTTTCCAAATTTCCGTGGGTTTTCTTTCCTCAGTAAATCACATGCAAGTATTTTACATGACGGCAAACAGCAGCATAAGTTCTACAACATTCTCCCTTGCAATTTGACAAGCAAATCACTGCCTCCAGTGTACAAAGATCCATGTGTTTCTGTGAGCTTGAGGGACAAGAAAAATACAATGAGAGACATACATTAAAATGAAAAAATAAAAAATAAATAATGGAATAACTGTATATTAAACTGTTAACTGTATACTTTTCTCTTGAAATGTGTGGGACATCCAACCATCTGATTCTGATCGCGATGTTTTCATACCATCTTTTATTTAAGCTCTTGATTTTGTGGCTTCAAAACAATTGTGCAAAGTACTGTATTTATTTGCAGTTCAACATGCACAATAGGTTGTAAAAATAATTTTAACCTTTTTGTTATATGGCATTTTACAAACCCTCCCAAAAATTAAAGAACTAAGACAAACATGCAAAATTTTCCTTCCTGTTCTCATTTTGTATAGAAAGCAAAGGCTGCAAAATGCAGCAGATTACCAGCTCTTGCTAAACGTAAGACAACAAGTTTGTCCTAGACAGAGTTCTGTTGACTGAGGGAAATACCACTATGTGTGGGGGGAGGTTTGAGAGGGGGACCCAAATGCAGAGACTGAAGCTGAAGGTGGTTTCTTGCAGATTTAATTTAAAAGGTGGCAACAGAAACAAAAATGCAAATGCTTAAATCCACACAAAAAAAAACTGAAAACCAAGATGACTCACAAGAAGGGCAAAGAAATGACAATAAACCAACAGTCACTGCTTGATATAAAACAAAGACCAGGCTATCAGCACATTGGGAGCAGGTGTGGAAAAAGGAATCTAGAAGGGAGCTAGGGGAAAGAAGACTGACACAAGAGGGAAACAGGGAGCTTACAAGAAATCAAGAAATACATAAGAACTGAAATACAATCAAAAATAAGTAGAATGACACAAAATGGAAAGGAAATAATGATAAGTCAAAGAGAAAACTTAAACAGAACCAAAACCATGACAGACAGACAGACAGACAGACAGACAGACAGACAGACAGACAGACAGTATTTGCAAGACCTGACTCAGTTCCAGCAAACTGTCACTCAAGCCATACAGTTTGAGCACCAGGCACTCATGAGATTAATGTAAACTTGTTAGGTTTTAAAAAGCATCCATTAAAAAAAGATATTTTTTATTATTCTCACATTTAATAATGATACAGATTTTTATCAACCCTTAGTGGCCAAATTTAAATCAAACTGAATGTCAAGACAGTAACAAAAAAGACCAGGTGTCTTTTTACACCGAGAATGTAAAAACCTGGTTAAAGTGAGCCATAAACTAATCTAGCTCATAAACATTTATCATATATAACGTTATAAACATCCAATTTATCAGAAAATAAAATCTGGTATGAGTTTACCTTAAAAATGAACTGAAAACTAAATGAATACCATTCCTTCAACAAAAATGAACTAAAAACCAATAAATGCCATGTCTTAGAATAGGTGAAAGAAGAGGAATCAGAAGAGGCTGCTTTAATATTAAAAATTCAGAACTCTTTGTTAAAGTGCTAGAGTAGCTAAAGAGTAAGTCCATTTACAACTACTGCTGATAGGGTGTTCTGTCTTTGCATGTTTTGCACACTTTCCAAGATACAGGGAACTAACTAATCTTGTGCCAGCATCCCTCTCCTGCTGGCTGCTTTTCAGCTTCTGTACCTCACTTCTGATCTAAATTACTAGAATATGAAAGAAAAGAAATAAATGAGTTTGACACCTCTTCCAAAAAAAAGCCACAAAAAATCTGAATACTTGTCACATCTCCAGAGTGGGAAACAGCAAGGATTTATAATCCCCCAAAAATGACAGCTAATGCAAAAATGAATGTGGTTGTATTCTAAGAAGCAGAATGTCATACTGCATTCTTATTATTCACTTAGCTGGATTCAAAAGGTCAAAGCAGACCAAGGCAAAGATTGACCTAGTCCACAAAACAGTGAACAGACAAAGAGCTGTGAGTAAACTTCTATTGATGTTTATTGGTTTGCTTTCTTTCCATTTGCAGAAGGAGCTGCAGATGTCAGAAGACTGGAATAGGCTAAGTCACACAGATGGAAAAAAAATCCTGAGATACAATAATCTGTAGAGGGTAAACCCACTGCAAAAAAAGGTTGAAAATCTTTCAAAATACCATGCAGGTTACTTTAAAAACATATTAAATAGAAATTATAAACAATGTGTGGACAAAACTGGCTGAATAGTGTCTGAAATGTACATTTTATCATCCATCATACTTTGAAGCTCTTTCCTAATGTACAGATATCTCTATTCTTAGGTTTTCCAACTGATTATCTCATAAAGTGAAACTCATAACTCTTAAAAAAGTCTAAAGAAAGATGTGTCTAAAAGTTGCAGGAACCTTAAGACCTGAGGAACCCTATTCTTGTGGCTCTTATGAATTCCTAGAATGGCTCATTATAAGTTTGGCAAAAATAAGTAATAGCCAAGCAATGGTTTTAGAATAGAATAGAAAACCCCTTTATTGTTCCACAATGGTGATATTGTAGGACAGTACTTTAGCTATAGATATAATAATCAATTACATAATATTTGCAGTTCTAAATGCATTCTAGTAAGCTGGATCGAGGGGAAAAATGGGTCCTCGAATTGTAAAACTTGCAGACCGCCACAGAGCAGTGCATAATTGTAAAATGAAAGGACATTTTTCATTACCAATTAAAATCTAAGAGGTGTTGTGTATTTTCACATTCATAGAGATTGTTGCGTCTGCTGCTTAGAAATGAAAAATATGGCACCACTGGATATCCAACAACACATACATCTGTTGTCATAATAGTTTATGCCGATTATGAATTAAAACACTATTGCAAAATTTCAATATTTGTTTAAGATGCTTTAAGATCGCCTGGCTTCTGAACCTTCTAATCCGTTAAATTACATGCAGTTCACTAAAAGGACTGTAGATACAGCTTGAAATGCCTGGTGAGCAATGCCCACAGTGTCTCATGAATCATTGGCGGATACGAACATCAGAGAAAGGAAGAGTGTTTTGATGACTGACACATTTTTGTCACAGAATAATATTTTAGAATGTTTTCAGGAAGGATACTTAATTGAAACGAATCCAAATAATTATATATAGATTAGTACTTATTTAACAACAGAGGCATCAAGTAATGAAGTACAAATACTTTGTTACTGTACTTAAGTACACTTTTTAGGTATCTATACTTTACTCCATTACTTATTCTTCTTCCTACTTCTGACTTCTACTCATTACATTTTCACACAATATCTGTACTTTCTATTTCTTACATTTTTAAAACAAACGTTACTCGTTAGTCTTGGCTTTGGTTTAATGTTTATAAAAAGTTATTTCACATCATGTGCACCATCCAATGCAGATCATTGGCGCCATCCAATTCTAGTGAAAACTAGTGTAATTGGATGAGTCCTATAACGCAAACGCTCTTTGGTTAGCTAAAGGAAATCATTAGAAGCAAGCAGGTGTTCTTCAAACTGCAAACAAGAATTGTCTATGCCATGCTACAATGTCAGATTCAGAAAAAGATGTTGAAATGTCTGAAAGGTTGTACTGAGCTTCAGTTATTCTACAAATAGGTTCATTTTAAAAGTGGATTTCCTTGACTGATTCTACAAATGGCAAAGTACAACTAGACAGAGCAATTTTCTGCAGTTTTTTTTCTTCTCTGTTGTTTTGTAAAAAATATGTTAAGACCCTGTAAAGTTTACCTTGCCATTCATACATACGTGCTAATTGGCATTGGTCTATCATATAAAATCTCATTATGAATGCCCCACCTCTTGCCCAAAACCAATGATGATAGGCACCTTTGCCAACAGAGCCCTACATAAAAAAAGAAACTGGTACAGACTATGCCTACATGAACCTAAATTATCCTTTTTGATTCAAACATCTCATCAGCAAGTGTTTGACTAATCTGTCAGGCTGTATCTAGCCTACCAGCCAATAGTGGTGGATCCCTGCCTCCAAAAGAGGGGGGATTTTAATAGCATAACAATGGAAGAACTCACACTAACCAGCTTTGTGATTTCAAGGAAATACAATAATCATCTATGAGCTCAGGTTGTTCATTTTCACTCATAAAAAATGCTTTTCCCAGAGAGGATCTAATATTATTTTAGATGATATTTGGAAGAGTCATTTTGGACAACCTTTAATAAAGGATACAAATGTCACTACTGTATAAAACCTTTCTAATTTTTGCATAGGTCTGATATTTCAAGCAGCTGTGGTTTTAATGCTGTGGTAAAAAACCTACCTGTTTTATTTAAAAAACATACACTCCAAAGAGGAATTCTAGATTTAAGGTAGGCAAATGTAAAATCTTTCAACTCCAAACACACAAATGATTTATCTCAATGTTAAATATACATCAGTGTTTCCTAGACATTCATTCTTCATTCATGTTATTGCATCTGTGTTTTAACTCTACAGTTTCTGACAAAATATACCGATTATTGACGTCTGGTGGCGATTATTAGATATTATCTGAGGAAATATTTGCAATATTTTAAAGATTAAGTGCAGCTAATACAAGAAGGGTGCAGTTATCATGTGGTGATGGCAAATATAGAGCAGAAAAATGCTTATTTAATAATGATACTTATATTAATGACCAGATTCTAATTTAATCAGAAACTTCTTACTGTTGGGCAATGGAACAATAATTAAATTAATGCTTACACAGACATGCATGACTGTCTATTGAAACTTACGTTGCAGCCGCGGAAACGTGTCCACTCCTTGTCCGTTGGGCTCCTAAATGCATTTGTATGCATTTGTCCAGGAAGCAGAGATCTGGGCGAAAATAGAATTGCACTCAATGGGATGCCTGCACATGGGCTAACCCTCTGGCAACGACCAAAAAAGAAGCGTTACAGTGGACAGAGAGTGGAGGCCACCTCAGAAGTTCTTCATTTCACTACGCTGGTGAGATGTTTCCTTTTCAGAAAGTAAAACATCTGGTGCGCTCTGCGGCGCGCAGGACAATCTGGCTGTTTTTATCCAAAAGTGAAGACGCGCAGCAGTTCAACAAGCAAGCTGGGGAAAAAAAAAAAAATCAGAAGCCGCTTTGACAAGAGATCTGTGCACGATTGCTTTGATGGATCCAGAGAATGTCTCCAGTGTGGACACAACAGGAGACTGACTTGTGTGCGTCTTCTCCTCCAGGCGCTGGTTTCAGCTATGTGCCTCGACTTGCAGCGATGCGAGTGGACCCGCATTCACCCCATCACAACTCTAAACCAGCTGGTGGTGTTGGATTTCAGCAGACTTACCCGTGACATCACGGAGGGATATTTGGCTTGTGCACTTCACTGTCTGATAACTTCATTTAACTACTGTGTCACGTTAAACCGAGGTCAGTGTGCTTTAAGTTTTCATTGTGGGTTGCTCATCTTGTTAAAACGCCAGTGAAATTGAAAGAGTACAGTAAAAAAAAAAAAAAAACTAAATAAAACTGACTCATGCAAAGATTATTAATAAGCATTTTTACTATTTGTACTACTTTGTTGTAACATAAATAAGAGTTTAATTATTAAGTAGAATATTAAACATGTTTTTTTCCCCCTAAGTACATATAGGCTAATACATTTCTGCAAATATTCACCCCCACCTAGTGAAATAATGGAAGACCCATCTTTTTTATAATGAGAATTTTGGGGAATAGATGAAAGGTGTCTATAAACAGCAATTTGAAGGCCTGTCCACAGATTAATGAGTCACTTTTGAAATTTAATATGTTTGAATCTAAAAGTATTCCATTGCAGTTGCGGGTGCAGGTGTTCGACATTTCGCCTGTCGAAAAGTGAATATCTCCTTCAGTCTAAAGTATTGCTGCCTCTTATTGGTTTTTTTTCTCACGAAAGCCCAGTACTTATTTCTGGTATCTTAATCTAACCTTATAAATGACAATGGAAACTTCACATTGGATTTTAAGCCAACTTGAATTTGTCAAAGTTTGGTGGAGGTTTTTGAGGACCTAAATGCAGAGATTAGTTTTTGCTGATTTAATAAATTTCCCCTGCCGATTGAGGCAAAAATCCAGGAACAAAATTAAGAGAACAAAAATCAGGAGACACCAGGGAGAAACAACACATGGGGAGCAAGCAATGAAGCAACATATCAACAAGAAACCAGCAATGAGGAACTGCAGAGGTTGTGTATATACTGTATGGGGAACAGAACAAAGGATGGGCTAACGAGCTGATATGGCGCAGGTGTGGATAGAACTAACTAGAAGGGAAGAAGTAAGAAAAAGGAAGTAAGTACAAGGGGGCAACAGAGAGTAACTCAAGAACACAACACTGTTGAAAAACAACTACTAAGATACAAAATTACTAAGAAACTAAAAAATAAACCAAAAGGATTCTGGCAGGATTCTGTGAACACCCATCCTGCCTCCACATTACTGTATTACCTTGATTTCCAAATGAAATGCAAAATTTACTTTCATCTGAAAACAGGATTCCGTTTTTCTGTCTGAGATGACTGGATAAAAACGTTTGCACATTTATGCAATATCCCAATTTCTTTAGATGTATTTGTATATACTTTTTTCAGCTATAGGTTTCCTCGATCCACTTTTCTATGAAGGCCATTAAAAGGTGCAATTAGTTGCCCTGTCCCAATGTCTCTGGCATTACCATCCATGTTTACTTCCGTGAACACAGAGCATGCTGGATTGTGATGTCATTACGTCCTCTACTGCGCATGCGGGACATTTGCGCTGTATGAATGCAGTTTACACAGGAGATCACATAAAAGTCTCATATATTTGGAAATGTGAGTGGCAAGGCAAAAAAAATCAGATTTAACAAAAAAAAAATCGTAATTGAGCTTTAAGGCCTGCAGTGTGAACGTAGCCTAAGTAAGTGTGCGGGTTTCAAAATCCTTCTTTTTCAGATATTTAAGTGAATAGGACTCGTTAATGCTTAAACCTGGTTATGTTTTGTTTGTTTCTTTAAACTAAGGCTGCCTTATATTTTTTTATATCTTTATTTAGATTTTATTCATTTAGAAAAGAAAATAGAGGATATGCATATTAATGCATATTAATGAACATTAGACAATGGAAGTATGCCAGATTATAGCCTTTGGCTAATTTCCATCTGCATTCCACCTGGCAGGTTGATGTCACAGGCAATTAAGATATTTACAACACACACTAAAGAAAGACAGATACAGACACAATTAAGTCCATCGTAGTTAGAACACACACGCAAAAAGTTAACGACTATAGTAATCTTATCCCTGACATGTCTGGTGTGTTCTGTGGCATCCATGTTAGTGTTTGACAAAATACAAACCTTTTTGAAGCTTCCAAATCATCTTCTAACTCTGTCCGTCTCATTAAATCCCCCAAAAGTACATTAATAGTTGCTGTGGAAATGTAATAAAATTTAATCATTTTCCAAAACACTTTAGTGTGAGAAGTTTCAATCCAACAGGTCCATATGCCTACATTTAAATTTTAGTGGTGGCAGAAAACATCTTTGCAGGTTCTGATAAAGTTTGAAATAACTTATCTTTGTGACTTTTTAACTGTGCTTTCTTTATGTCCCTGTAGAACAGGCACCCCCAACCTCGGTCCTCGAGGCTTGCTGTCCTGCAGGTTTTAGAGGTTTTCTTGCTCCAGCACAGCTGATTTTAATTGGAAGCTGATTAACAGGCTTTTGGTCTACTGCAATCATTATAATCAGCTGTGCTAAAGCAGGGTAACCTCTAAAACCTGTAGGACAGCGGGCCTCGAGGACCGTGGTTGGGGATGCCTGCTGTAGAACACTCTGATGCAGATTTGCCCTAACAGGTTTCAGCATAATTCTTCTCTTCATTCTTGAATAACAGAGCTTCGTAAGTCCCCAAATCAGATCCAGACTCCAACCCAGGAACCCCCCACCCCCACCCCCACACACACTTCAAACACAACTCTGCATCTTCCTCTGGATCTTCACTCAATTTTGCCTGGACTGAGCGACAGTCCATATGGTCTGCAGTTCTAGAGCGGGCGGGTGGGTGGTGGAGGGGGGGGGCTTAATTTTCTGGTTGTACTATCAGATGCAACCTACATAAAACAAAAAGACCAATAAACATGTTTACTGGCCAAAGGAATGAGAGGTCAGACTGACACAGAAACTCTAAGCTAACATACTATCTGTGTAAACAGTGGTCTTACTATGTTTATGTTTCCAGCAGACATAGTAGAGATCTTTAAATCTCTGTATCAGTTGGTCAATATTTCATCTTCTTTACCAAAGCTTATGTACTTGAGCAGAGGATGCACACCGGTTGCATTGTTCTCCCATCAGCCTGTACCTGGGGATAGCCATGTTCTGAGCAGATGTTTGTCTGCACCGCCAGAAACACAGGTTTGGTGATGCAAAAAAAGGCATAAAGCACCAATGTGGGTTATATCAGTTAAACTTAGATAAAGTTGCAGATTCTTTGCAGCCAGAAAGCCTTGTAAAACTGTTTTTTATTATATTGTAAAATGTTTTCAGAAAAATCCTTCCCCGATTAAAGGCAAACTTTTCAAGATGATTTACTTATTTTTCCTTGAGTCCAGATGTGCGCTGAGCAACAAGATCTTGGGCCCAACGAGTGGCCGATAATCAGAATCAGCTCATGTCTCGTTTTTCTCTCATGCTGAATCTGCAATAGCAGATGACTGTACCCTTAATCCTCCTCCATGTGGTGTTTCCCTCCTGGAGTTTCAGAGGTGTTTCCTGTAGGGTGGCAAGAAATGTTCTATAATTAAATCTGAATTACATTACAGACATTTCCCCCTTTCAACAGAGTTTTAGAAGTGCACAATGTCTAGACATGTCTCTGATTTACTTGTGATTTCCTTAGAATCTAGTTACAAAAGTTTATTAAATACTAAACGAGGTCATTTACAGCTTTGCCATTGTGCTGTTAAAGCAACTCTTGCTCAATTCACTCTCAAATGTTGATTCTATTGTTGTCTATGTTGGCACTGTGCTAGCACCAGTTCTCTGTACAAAAGAGAGAAATTAATTATGGTTTTTGGAGACAGCTTGGTTGCAGTCTCTGTTTCAGCAGGTGTGAGTTCATACTCCTAAATGCAAATTTCTGTTCTCTCTATTGAGAGAACATGAACATGAACTGACTCAGTGCTAGTTATTGGAGGTCAGGATCCACACTGGCAGGATTGCGTGCTTAATGCTTAACGTTTCAAAAAAGAGCAACAGCTTGTAAATTTCAGGAGCATCTTGACTTTCAGCCTAATTACAAGTCACCCAAGCGAGTAAAGACATAATAAAAAAAATCAGGGACAGGACAGATTCTGTGAGCTGTAAAGTGAGGGAGAGAAAATGTTATCCTTTTTTGGTTGTGTTTTTGTCTACTTGCCTTTTCATTGAAGATGCTGCAGACACAGTGGTTTACAATGCATTCATGCATTCATGCTGCTGAACCTTTCTCCTATACTGTGACAAAAGTCTTTAAACAGCTTTTAATGATAGACCAACACAAAAAATTGCATAATTATGAAGTGGAAGGAAATTGATAAACTGTCTCCAATGTTAAAAGTGCTGTACATTCTGATCCCTTAACTCTGATTCCACTAACTATTCTATTCTATCACAAGAATAATTTCCTCCAACCCACACTCTTTTCCTTCCACAAATTCATGAGTGCTTTGTTAGTTATTTTAAGCTCTGGAAATAGTTTAATAAATAAACCTTAAGTTAAACTTCTCCAAAGTTTCAGTCCTGAACTGACTGTTGTATTCGTTGATCTTCATTATGTTGGTTTTTAACTAATGTTTCTCGAACAAACATCTGAGTGTGATTCAGTTTATATTAGATATATCAGTAACTCTATTTACTAGCTGCATGAGTTTTGCTGGATTTTATTAAGGAGAATCAGATTAAAACGAGTTGAATACAATTGCATTCCACACTTTTCAAATTTTAATACGTAAAAACATTATGCTTCAACCACTCTGAAATTGTGAGAGACTTGAGAGACTGTGTCATCTTATCACATATCACAACTGTCAGATTAAAGAGAAGTTACAGAGCTTCTTAACAATACTGCCACCTTTGGACAAAATACAGAACTGCAACACTCTTCTGCTCGTTCTCGTAACTCCTGCTCGTAATTGACAAGGTTGTTTATTTCACTTTTTCCACCTTACTTTGAGTTGCTATTGGTGTCCGAGTTAAGCCGGATGCCTGTCGCTTCGGAGTATCCACAAAATCAATTTTTATTATAACACTTTGATTACTTGCTAGGTCAAACCCATTTAAAATGACACACTTGGTGTCAAATCCGCCGAACAG